CGGCGTGTTAGTAGTGAATTGAAGAACTTGAAGTTCATAAGTTTGATTCAATTGGTTTTAGGGGTGATTCATAGATTTAGCGTTGCGTTCCGAGGGTTCGAGCGAGTCCATTTTATGATTTCAGACTTGTCGGTATGTTCGGGCGGGGCCCGGGGGCCCCGAGCGTCAATCGGGCGAGGCTCGAGTGAAGTTGGAAATTTTGGGAAGGAGCTGAAGCTCCAGTTATCTGTCATAACTGCACCTGCGGTTGGTCAGCCGGAGGTGCGGGACCGCAGAAGCGGTCTCCCTCTCGCAGATGCGGCCAAGCCAGGCCAGGCCCAAAGCCGCAGAAGCGGAGTCGCAAAAGCGGCTTGTATCTCGCAGATGCGGCCCAGCGGCCCAGTTGAGATTCCGCAGAAGCGGACACCTTTCCGCAGGTGCGGTGGGCTCAGGTTCGGCCCAGGACCGCAGATGCGAAAATCACTGAAGCAGTGAGCTTCATTTATTACGGGCTCTAGGCCATTCTTGCTCACTTTCGCTCATTCATTGGGCGATTTTGGAGCTCATGGGAGTGGACTTTCACCTAGCATCTTGAGGTAAGTTCATCCTACTTATTTCTAAGTTTAATACTTGAGTCTTGGGTAGATTAACACACAAAGATTAGGGAAAATTATGGGATTAGAACAAAACCTAGGGTTTTGATAAAACTTAGATTTTACCATGAATTTTGTTATGGAATGAAGTAGATATCATATATTATTTATCCTTAGGTTATAGAGAACAACTTACTTCGAAAAATTTCGGAATCCGGGCACGTGGGCCCGGGGTCGGATTTTAGGAAACTTGTGTTTAAGGTTGGGAAATTACTTTAGTAATTAAAATGCGAACTCTTGAGCTTGTATTGACTAGTTCCTACCTTGTTTAATTAGTTTTGGATCATTCGGCTCCAAAATGAGGGTTTGAGCACGTTCTTGATATTGGGAGTATGCTTTGGAGCGAGGTGAGTCTCCTTTCTAACCTTGTAAGAGGGAATTGTCCCCATAGGTGAGGTAATTAAATCATGTGTGTTAATTGTGGGGGCTATGTACGTACAAGGTGACGAGAGTTCGTGCGTAGATACTATTATATTAATTGTCCGGGTAGTTTAGGACCCGTATCATGCTATGTTTGTAAATGTCTATATCCTTTCATGTTAATGAGATCACCTAGGATTTGTTAGGAGTTGGAAACGATGTATAAGAACGCATGTACTCATTTGATAACTTGTGTGAATTTATTTGACTATGATTGTGCCTTATGTGCCCTCTTGATGATGATTGATATTTGTGGATTGGGCCGACCGCCTCGGTAGAGATAGATGCATCTATGGTTCGCGCCATTCGACCCTCTGGCAGTGCATATTTCTTTTTTATGTTGGACCGGACCGTACGACCTCGGCATAATGCGCGCATGTTATCTATGTGAATTCATATTCATGACTTGTCTTGCTAAATGCCCTGAAATGTAAATGGCTAATTATGAAATTATCTAGGGAATGACTTATCACTTCATGCTATAAATTGTTATATATATTTGACATTTATGCGTAGTAAAAAACTTCTTATATTAATTGACCCTAGTAAGTATCAAGTCGACCTCTCGTCTCTACTTCTTCGAGATTAGACGGGATACTTACTGGGTACATATTGTTTATGTACTCATACTATGCTTCTGTACCTATGTACATGATCTGAGGTAGGTACATCTGGTTATCAGTCTGGTGCGCAAGTTTGATCATAGTTCGAGATTCCACGGTGAGCTGCTCCTTTCCTATGCCGACCAGCAGCGTGATGGAATCTTTCTGTATTTTTCTTTTGCTGTCTATTCTAGTTCGGACAGTAAGGTAGATTATTCTTTTGTGTATTCTACTAGATGCCCATATACTTGTGACACCGGGTCTTGGCACACACATTAGTAGACTATTCTTTTGGGATTGTATAACTATTTCAGTTCGGTGCTAATTATTTCTTGTTTTGAATTCAAATATAGAATTTGTGTTAACTATTTTGGAAAAAGTAAAACTAGAACTTATTAATATTTCCGCGTTGGCTTGCCTGACAACGGTGTTGGGCGCCATCACGACCTGGAGTGAAATTGGGTCGTGGCATTTAGTTTATAATTACATTCCTATCACATTCATGCGCGCTTTTCATTAGACAATGTTTAAAATTCCTCTTTGCCTTTTCATATACCATGCAAAAGTTTTTGTCGCCTATATAAGTACGCTATACCTTGTGAGTACGCTATACCTTGTGAGTTTATTCACTCAAACACATATTTTTTAGCATATAAAATACAAAAGGGAGAAAAATGGATGCTGTCATCAGGCAAATAGTTGACAAAATTAAGCAAGACATCATTGAGGTGTTTGAGTTGAAGCTGGATGAGGTGATAGAGAAGTACGACAGGGAGCTGCAAGAAATCAATAACAAGCTTGATACGCTTGTGATGCTGGCAAAATTTGATAATCTTGGAGATGAAGACGCTCGTCCATCATCCAGTGACGACGACGATGACGATATGGACGATTAGGCTTCTTTTTTTTTATGGATAATCCTTTTAGTTAAAGGTAATTATGTTATTTCCTTTATATGTAATTTTAATTTATCTGTTTTTAATGAAATATTTTGTTTTTTTTTAAGTTTTTTGTGTGTTTGTATTTTAATATTAATTCTCTTCAAACTCGAAAAATGACAGAGAAAATGAACTAAATAACCACAGCAGGAATTAACAAATACTCATCTGAAAGTTAAGCATTTTTTGGTATGAAGTTTTTCCAAAAAATCATAATAAAATACATAGGGCAGGAGGAAAACTTCAGCTCCCTTTGCTGAAGTTTTCAAGAATGAACTAAAAAACTTCATCATTTTATGCTGAAGTTTTTGTGCAATATGTAATTTTAATTTATGTTTTATTTTATTTAATGAAAAATGATATTTTGTATTAATATTTTTGTGCGTTTTTTTTAATATTAATCCTTTTTAAACTTAGAAAATAACAGAGGAATTAACAAAAACTTATCCGAAAATTACATATTGCAGGACAAAATATTAAGCATGTTTTATCATATGAACTAAAAAAACTTCAGCATACTAAAAATTATATGAAAAATGTTTTACTTATTCCGAAAAACTTAAGCATTTTTTGGTATGAAGTTTTTCCAAAAAACATTAATAAAATACATAGTGCAAGAGGAAAATTTCAGCTCGTTTTGCTGAAGTTTTCAAGAATGAACTAAAAAACTTCAGCTCGTTTTGCTGAAGTTTTTAAAGGTTAACTAAAAAACTTCAGCATTAATTTTAATTTATGTTTTATTTTTTACCCAGTGTAGGAGGAAAACTTCAGCTCGTTTTGCTGATGTTTTTAAAGATGAACTAAAAAACTTCAGCATCCCATGCTGAAATTTTTGTGCAATATTAAATTTTAATTTATGTTTTATTTTTACCCAGTGCAGCTATGTTTCAGCTCGTTTTTCTGAAATTTTTACATATGAACTAAATAACTTCAGCTTGATTACACTACAAGACAAATACTTCAGCATATGTAAAAACTCAGCTTGTTTAGCAAATAAACCAAAAATTTCCGCATATTATGTAGTGGAAAACTTCAGTATATTTGAATTTGTCGGATTAGAATGTTAGAATTCAACGTGAAACAGATTTAGAATGCAAATTCAGCATATCAGTGAAGATTTCATGTTTCATCCGTCAAACAACTTCAATCAATCAATCAGAAAACATATATTATAAAATCAATAAGTTTCAAAAACTATTTTGAATTATGAAGATGAATTTGAATACTTACAATGTATTTTGTAATTTTGAATTTTGAATTAGAATCTGGTTCAAATCTGGTTTGCGAGAGGCGATCTGAGGAGAGATGGAGTGATGGAGCAGAACAATAAATTGATTTATGCGTGATGCATCTTTATATGTTTTGAAAGGGGTATAATGGTCATATTATTACGAATTTTTTGTTAGTTGGCTACGAAATCAATAGTTTTTAAAAATAGGGTACAAGTTAAAAGGTGGCATCAATATAGAGTATGGCTGCAAATCGCCCGTTTTAGGACCAGTTGTTGAAATATAACCAGCTTTGCACAATGTATTTGAGAAATAGCCACAGTATAAAAAAACAATGTATTTGAGAAATAACCCCAATATAAAAAAGACGGCAAGGATCAGGTTCTTCTCTTTTTTGAAGTTTCATGACATTATCCTCAAGTTCGAAACTTTATATGTAAAACTCTAGCACACTGTGATGAAGTTCGAAGTTTTCTGCATCTGGAACTTCAACGTAGTGCAAAAAGTCCCAAAAAGATACTGATCAATCTGAAACTAAAAATTTGATTGAAATAATTACAGTTTTAAACGACTAAAATTTATTTAATATAAGAAAAATTACTAATGTTTAAAATGTGAGTATTAACTAGTAAGTGAAATTCATAGTTTTGAAAGTTGAGCAATATGAATTAATACTATGCCAATAGAACCTTCTAATGCTTTCAAATCCAAGGCTGAGATAATTAGGGTCTCCGCAACTTCACGTTGGATTTGGTTCAATTTTTATCAAAATGTGGAATTATTTTCTAACTTTTTTCTCATACATTGAAAAGATTAAAATAAACTTGAAATTTGTCTAAGCTACATTGCTCAAATCTATGAGGAGAAAAAGCTCCATATTTTTAAGCACTTCTTCTTAAATTAGCAAATATTTTCCACTATGACCTTTATTTGTTAGAAATGCTACACATATTAGTAATGTAATGTGTGGTATCATTCCAATTTGCACCAATTTGTATTTTTTACATACTTTTACGTGCCTCCTTTTGTAACAAAATAAAAAAGATATTATTAGAAAAATTCCTATGAGTTTTTCTAATTGTGGATTTTTTTTTTGGTGTGAATTCGAATTAGTGAGGCAAACTTCAAATTAATTAAAAAAAAAAAAAACTTAAAGGGTGACGTTAACGTTGTCCTTAAGCCATTTGGGTCCATTTTGTTTTTCTATGGCAGCTCGCTTATTGCGAGTGCACGGCCATGGCGCCGCAGGGCAGCTCTATTTCATTTTCAACTCCAAATTCCTACTTCAATACTCAACAACTGCAGTTGCTACTACCTGTGACCCGACCCATTTCCTGATGAACTATCTTGTGGACTCTCTCGGATTCTCTAAAGAAGAAGCCATTACAACAAACACTAAGGTAACTCGTTTAAAACCCACTGAAAATCCTCAGCTTGTCCTAAATTTCTTCGAACAAAGTGGTTTAGACAAAACCCATATCGGTAAAATTGTGTCTGCTGTTCCCAAGTTGCTTTTATGTGATGTTGACAAAACCCTAAAACCCAAACTTGACATTCTTCATGACCTTGGTTTATCTGGTTCTGACTTAGTCAAAGTCATTACTGGAAGTATGTCTATTTTGAAAAACACAGAAGTTTCTGACATGAAATCTTGTGTCAGTTATCTTAGAAAGGTTTTGGGTAGTGATGAGAATGTAATGAAAGCTGTTAAGAAAAAACCATGTTTGCTCTCTGTTAAAGGATGTGAAAGATTGAGGACCAATATGTTGTTTTTTCAAAGTATTGGGTTTTCAGATGAGGAAATCAAGAAATTCATAGTTCAAAATCCATATACTCTTTTGGCTAGTCCTGAGAGTGTAGAGGATAAAGTGGACAGGCTTAAAAAAGATTTTAATATCTCTCAAGGGTCGGGAATGTTTATCCATGGAGTTGCTGTGCTTATTTCGATGAAAGAAGCGACTGTAGACACAAAATTTGGCGTTTTCAGGGATTATGGATGGTCTAAATGGGACATAATTAAATTGGTCCAGCTTTTGCCTTATTGTTTGAGGCTGTCACAAGAGAGATTGCGAGCTGCGCTAAACTTCTACATGGGGGAACTCGGTTTGAAACCTGCTTACTTGGCTTCTCATCCAACGCTGCTTATGTTTAGTATGAAAAAGAGGGTTTTGCCTCGGTTGGAACTCATGAGAAGTTTAGTGGAGAAGAAATTATACGATGAAGATTACAATCTGTATACTGTTCTGTTGCCATCAGATCCGAAATTTTATCAGGTTTATGTGCTGCCCTACAAGGATATGATACCTGATTTGTGTGAACTATACAACAAAATTCAACTGCATGGAAAAGCCAAAAAGTAATATGCTGCTCGAGAGAGGTTTGGTACTCCACTTCAATTTTGCAAAATTGTTATCGTTAATTCTTTCTGTTACAAATGGCTGTTAGCATGTAACTGTAAAGTAGTGATTTCTCTCAAATTTTGCAAGTCCTTTTGGAGTTATGTGGTAGAGGATGTTCAAGAGGCACAGTCCTCTCGATCTGTATGATGCTGCGGAAAGCTCACGAGTTTAACTTGCTGTCACTCGTATAACTCTGAATTATGGGGAAAAAAGTCCATTAGGGGCTTCAGAATCTTACAGCCAGAATACTGATTAAAAAAAAGAGAGAATCAGACAGCGAGAATTCAGCTGCTTTTATCCTCAAAAGGTTCCTCTACCATTCTCCATTCAAATGCAAAACTAGGTTCACTGGCAAGGATTCGAACTCATGACGTATACTTCCTAAAACAGAGTGTGATTTAGGATGGTTATTTAGTCTTTTCATGGTTATTTACTCTTATCAGCCTATAGGTTATTTATCTATCAATCAGTGTCTCAATTTTAACTAGTTCGGCTTAGCTATATGATATCCATTCCATCTATTCAGGCCCGTTTCAATATCAACCCCTAGGTCATCACTGGGTGAAATTTCAACAGTCCTACAATGCCTTGACACAATGAGCTTGACATAAAATGTTCAGAAATTACATTTTGAGCTCTTGACAACGTAATGCTTCCGGGAAACAAAGCCTCTGAATTTTTGTTTCTCTCATTTTTCTGTCCGTTTGGTAATGATTAAATTTTTTAGTTGAGTTTAACTTGACTAACTCATTATTTCTTGCATTGCTCCCTGCCTTCCCCAATTCCTCAAACAATGTGAAAAGGATAGAATAGTAGGCATCTATCAAGCTTATAGTTGCATCAAAAGAAAAGGGAAGAAGAATTAGTTGGGCTTTAACTGCCGTCCAATGAGCCTTTATTTGGTCTCTGTTGGATTTCTCATCTAGAAAATCATCTATAAGAGTTAAGCCGGTCTGATGGAACAAATTTACAAAATAGTGTGTATTTCGTTAATACAGTACGCATAGACATATTATTTGCTAAATATGATGCTCCATGTACTATGTTTCCCGCTTCCCAATTAAGGAGTTAAGAGCATCGAAACAACAAAACTAAATCTCTGATGATGTTGGTTACATGTTTACACTGCTAGCTGCAATATTGCTTCTACTTTGAAAGCTTTCAGATTCATCCTCCCCACCCACCATTTCCCCCTTTATTCATCTTATTTTAGTCACTCATGTAAAGTTCAGAAACTTGGGATATTCCACCAACTGCTTGCTGGATCAGTGATTTTATTCTGTGGTTGTCATTAGTGACTCAGGGCTGTGTTGTGAATTATCCATACTTTGTCATTTGACTAATTTCTATTTCTTGAATATATGTTTCTCCATTAAGTAACACTCATTCTAGCATCTTATATCAACTATTTATTTCCATCAGAAAAAGGAAATTAATTTGAAGCTGATAATTGTAATGTTTGATTTACTCTTCCAAACCAAGTGTCATAATTTTTTTGTTAAGTTGAACATTTACCATTAAAGATATTGTTAAATAGAAGTTATGAAGGCCTTCTCTTAAAATTTTCTTGTCTTTCATTTGAATAGGGTTCTTGGAAATAAAATATCTTTATCATTATTGTTGTCGGAGATTTTCTTTTCTTTCCAAAGGTCCCACAAGTTGAAGTAGTATTTAAACATAAATCATTTTCCTTTCTTTAGTCTTTCAAGGAGTCACATATGCAAACAAAGATTTTGGCCAACCCCTGCGCCAAGCCCCTTTCTTTCTCAATATTTTGGATGAGAGAGGGGGATTAGATTATTTGTTAGAACCCTTTCAATATTATACCTTTAAGACTTTTACAAATCTTAACACAGAAAATTTTAGTAGTAAGGTCATATAATAGCTATTACTTTTACTAAAAGACGCTCCTCCTTTCACTATTTTGTAGATTAAACGCATTGATATTGAGACTTAACAGCTAAATGGAGAAAAATTGTAGACTAGATATATCTAAACCTAACAGGCGATGTTAAGTTTAATCAATTCAGGATCGAGTAAGAAGACCCTGTTTTAACTTTACACCAGAGTATGCCATATTTTAGGAAGGATTGGTGGATAAGATGGGCTTGTAGTAGTAGTAGGCGAACTCTTCATATTTGTCTAAACTTTTGTTGGTGGGAGTTACCTGGTTTGTATATCTGTTTGCGGTGGAAGGTAGTAGGTACCCGGTGGATTAGTCGAAGTGCACACATATCACTAAATAGATACAAAAAAGTGTAATTCGGACACCACTGCAGAAAACCAAGTTCTTGCTCCTTGTTGACGGGGAAGGTTCAGTCACCACTTTTATTTAATTATTTTTTCGAAAAAAAACAAGGCATTGTTATAACTTCATGGTCTATATGGAAAATGTGACTAAAGCTTGCTTTAGGAACAACACCTAGCTGTCAAATAAATTTACTGGTTGTCTAATTCCAAGAGTAATGTCTTCGGGAATGGTTCCCCTGGAACTATGCCCTATTACCCGTGCTTATTATTTGAATTTTCTGTGCAGTATTTTGGCTCAACAACAACTTTTCGATATTGTGCTGGATGAGACATGAGAGAATTGCAGGGTGGTTGAGGCCTGGTCAAAGTGGAGGAATCAAAAGTTTTGGCATTTGATAAAGAAGGGTGGTGACTGCAATAGCTTTAAGCTGATTCACTTGCGTTTGTCTGGAGCACTTGATCTGCAATTGCAAGTCGTCTCATGCATGCACTCGTACAGATTGCAGTTTGATAACGTTCTGTCAAAGAAGCTGAAGCAGAGCCAGTGATGCATGGTCTTATTCTGTATTAGCTTTCACTAGTTTTAACTTTGTAAGCTGGATGTAACTTTAGTGTCAATATCTCACAAGCTTAACAAATAGCAATGCTGGCAATTGTCTCTGAATCGTGAGCAACGTGGTTACATACACGCTTTTGATAATTCTCAAATTTTCAGTATTTAATAATCACAACATTTAGCAGTTGTGATTATTTTTCAATTACTTTGCAAATGGTTGTAAAAGTGGTTATTTTTCAAAAGGGAAACTTACACAGATGTCCCAAATAGATCTTAACTACCAACCTCTAGCCATTAATCATAAACTTACCAAAACTAGATAAGCACATATAAAAATTAAAAAATCAAGTAAATAAGGTTATTTCTCTCAAAGAATCACATGCAAAAATCACTTTCCATATTTTTAAGCGTGATTAGCAACATTAGATGCAAGATGGAAAAGAAATTTTATGGATGAGGTAGCAAATAAGGTTATGAAATACAAAAAAATATATATATAAAATATTCCAAAAATTTAAGCAAAAAAAGGAACTTTTTCAATGGGTATATTGTTGAAATTCATTGAAAACATATAGATAAGTCAATATACAAAATTTGAGGAAGATTGGAGGTGAGTTGGACTGGTTTTGTATCAAAATTCGTAATTAAATCGAGTTCAAAAAATTATTGTGTGACATATGTATCAACACATGTATCACGCATGTATCTCACACACAGGTGTACATGGATATACATGTGATACACAACTGATACAGATATGATACATATGTGATACACAGTGTGATACATATATCATTTTTTTTCATATTAATTTTTTACTTCGAATTTTCAGTTCAAACCACCTCAAAACTTCACCAAATCATCCAAAAACTGAGATTCAAGCTCCTTAAGATGTACCCAATTTATTCTAATAACACCACTCAAAAGAAAACAAAAATTTGACCTTTTTTTCCGCTACAAATAGCTAATTGGCTAATATTAGTAATAATTGACTAATATTAGTAATATTTTATGAATTGGCTAAGTTTTATAATAAGCTACTTATAAATGGACACGGGTAGTTTTCCTTTTCAAAATCATCCCAATATATAGAGGACAGGATTACAAGCAAGCGATTATCATCAGCTTACCTTTCTCCAATGGCCCAAATAATATATGAGCAATAAATAGGCGTGGCATGCGTCAAAATTTTTAGAAATTTACATTATATTAAATCATTGTCACTAATTAAATTTTGTGTCTCTGAGCCGAGGGTCTCTCGGAAACAACCTCTTTTTCTCTTCGGAATAGGGGTAAGGTCTGCATACACTCTACTTTTCCCAGACCCCACTAGTGACGTACACTCTGTCCTCCCCAGACCCCACTAGTGGAATTCTACTTGGTTGTTGTTGTAATTAAAATTTGGGTCTCAATGTTGACTATAATAGAGCTATTAGTTTAACTTAATGGTTACACACATGTATATATAACGAAAGTACCAAAATGTGTAGAGTAGACAAATATCTTGTATCTAAAAGCAGCCTTCCTTCTCTGGTTTTAACACTTTCTAATTTTTCTAATTTCCATCGTATAATAATGGCTTGATCTGATCTTAAATACCGAACCAAACTAGTAGTCATTTTTCATTTAAAAATCACATCAAACCAAGTCAAAGAACATATGATATCTTTTTCATGGGTTTGATTGATTTGGCTACATTATTTTAGGGTTAGATAATTTTTAGGGCTAAGGCAGAGTTGAGAATATTAGTGGGCTGATTATTTACATTTTTTTCCAATATAAATTTAAAAATACCGAATCTGCCACCGATTGAGTGATATGTAAAAACATTATAACTTGCTTCTCAAAATCTTTTAGGGTGCTTTTAGCAGCTTTAGGCCATCTCCAAGGCTGCACCAAATTCAAATTTGATGTAAAATTTGGTGTTTTTTTTGTTCCAATGAAACATCAAATCTTGCACCATTATAGTGCATGAATAGCGTGCACCAAATTTGGTGCAACACTATTCATCACACCACATTTGATTTATTATTATTTTATTCATCTTTTATTTTTTGGACTTTCAATTTATCATATATTGTGTATATAATTAATTTTTATATTAAGATCTTTATAATTTTAATTTTATATACTATGTTTTTTTGATATATTAATTTTTGTATATATTATATTTCTATAAAATTATAAGTTAATTTTATTATTATTATAATTGTATAAAAAGAAATATAACTATTATTTAAAAATAAAAATGCAAATGTAAGATATCTAATGTTGCTAAAATTGAAAAGTGAAAACTAAAATTTAAAAAAGAAAATTAACAATACATGAAATAAAAATACATTATAATTAAAGTACATCAAAGGAGGATACATTAAAATTGAAATTAAGATGCGCATGTCGCACTTCGTAATGCATTAATCGAGCATTTATGGGAGAATAGAGGAGAAAGTTGAATACTTATGTGGTACTTAAATTAAATTTGACTATGATGTAATATTTATTTAATTATCTTTTATCAATGATTTCACTTTTAGTTGATTTATCCTTTAAAATATTTGTAATAAATGATTATATAAGTGGTGAATGTGAATTATATATAATGAATATGGCAAAAAGAAAAAAGATAGTATTTGTTTGAAGAAAATAAAAAATGAAATTTAAATAGAAGATAATAATATAATATAGAAGAGAGAGAAGAAATATTATTTTTTGGTGTAAAAAATGGTGTAATGGTTGGAGTAAATTTGATGTTACATCATTTTGGTGTGAAATTTGGTGTTAGGGTTGGAAATGGTCTTAGTGACAATACCAACTATCTTTTTTTTTTCCCATTCGGTGTCCAGTACCCGCATTGATACCCGACTATATCCGGATTCGCTCTGCATAGGGTCCAATTCGAGGGGAAACGCTCTCTACTAAGGATTTTTCCATACCAGGACTCGAACCCGAGACATCTAGTTAAGGGAGGAGCAGTCCCGTCCACTGTACCACATCCTTTGGTGGTACACTACTAGAAATCCGGTAATTAGCGACCACAAAAACCGACCAACGTTGGTCGGTTTAGGCAAATTACTGACCAAAACACGTCCAAACAGGCTTGCTCGCTATTTTGGTGGTCGTTTTAGTATACCGACCAAGGTTGGTCGCAAAGGTAAAAGGACCAACTATACTATTTAAAGCACATACCGACCAACTTTGGTCGGTAACATATTTTAATAATTTAATTTTACCGACCGAAGTTGGTCGGTGTATTTAAATTACGTTATTTTATTAATTTTAATATATATATATATATATATATATATATTATATATATATATAATATTTATATTATATATATATATATTATATATATATATATATATATATATATATATTATATATATATATTAAAATTAAACCATACCGACCAAAGTTGATCGGTAAAGTTGAAATCTGGGTAATCCTTGTTCATTAACCGGCCAACTTTGGTCGGTAATTTTTAATTTTTAATTTTTTTGAAACTTTAGCGACCAACAATTGGTCGCTAATCAGCAGAAAATTATTTTTTAATTAAAATCGACCAAACTTTGGTCGGTTTTCCTGGGTTTAATTTTGCATAAAATAGTTGTTTTGGCAGCTACACCGCCTGCCAGCATACCAAAATCCCTAAATAACAACAACAACAACAACAACACAATTCATAGTGATATATATATATATATATATATATATATATATATATATATAGACACACACGCACGCTTCGTAGTACTACTTAACTGCTTATATAGCATGTTAGAGTATATTTTAGTCTATTCATCCCTTGTATTACAAAAGTATTAACGACTTACATTTATATTATTTACATAGTAAATACAAAAGTGATTTTTAATTTTCAGCATTGTTGACCTGAAAAGAGACCAACTTTGGTCGCTAATTATACATAAATTTAAACTAGCGATCAAAGTTGGTCGCTAAATTTAAATTAGATTTATTTATATTTTACATAATATTTAAACTAATAATATAATTGGTAAACGTTAGAACTGGGTCCCAGATTAGCGACCAAAGTTGGTCTCCATTTCTTTAAGCGGCCAACTTTGGTCGCTAACTTTGAATTATATTTATTTATATTTTATAATTTTTTTTAAATAAATATATAATTATTAAAATTTTATAATTGGGTCCCATTTTAGCGACCAAAGTTGGTCACTAACTTCTTACCCTTTATTTAGCGACCAACGTTGGTCCCTAATTTTAAATTATATATATTTATATTTTATAATTTTTTTAGAATAATAATATAATTATTAAAATTTTATAGGTGGGTCCCATTTTAGCGACCAAAGATGGTCGCTAATTTCAGTTTACCTTTGACCAAGCAAGTCTGACAAGTCCGGTCAACATTTTGACGAAATTTGCGAACAAGTAGCGACCAACCTTGGTTGCTAATATATTTCAAATATTTATTTCATTATTTTCGTTAATTTAGCGACCAAAGTTGGTCGCTTTTGTGACAGACCAACTTTGGTCGCTTTTTTTTTTGTTGCTTTTTTCCGGAATTCTAGTAGTGGTACTTCACCTTCAAGCTGGAGCTTAATTAGCAAGATTTCTTGCAGTTTGCTGCTTCTTAATTTCCTCAAGTCCCAAAGAGACGCGAGAATAAATTGGATTCCTAGGTTCGATGATGATTTTCTCGAGTGCAATAGCATTTTCCAGAAAGTACCTCACGAGTTCAAGATGAACTACATCGCTATAATAACCCCACAACCTGATCACTTTGAGGTGATGCAGTGGACATTTTATGGTTTTACTACACTCTCTGTTTGATGGGAAGGGACATGACAACATCAACTGCCATACATAAATAGAACAAAGTAAGGAACAACACCCGTATGGCCATATCATATATGGGACTTAAACCTGATACCCTTGTTTGACTGAATGAACAAAGTCCGGTTACAATGTAATATATCTAGTAGTCAACATTATTCAATCACCATTACTAGTTATCCGTGATCTAGAAATCTTTACTTCTCAAACAAGCCATAAAATTAGGTTATAACAAAAGAAACACCAGCGATTTGTCATAACAGAAATTTGATGAGCTACCTGCCGGACTTGCTGACCTTTTTAACGATTCGTACAAATTCACCAGTAACTTGGTTCAACACACACTTGATCATAACCAAAAGGCCGAGAAAGGTTAAATGCTATCTTGGC